AGTAGGCGCTGCAACTAAAGATATTCGCGAAGTTTATTTGGACCGTGCTCCAGCACTCCGCACAGTAAAGAAATGGTTCGCGAAATTTCGTTCTGGAGATTTTAACCTCGAAGATCAATCTCGCAGTGGATGGCCTTCTGAGCTTGATGACGATGTTCTAAGGACTTTAGTTGCGAATAACTCACATATTTCGACGGAAGAGGTTGCCAGTGAATTGAACGTCAACAAATCAACTGAGTTTCGTCGTTTAAAAAAGGTTGGGTACACTTTGAAGCTCGAAACATGGGTGCCACATCAGTTGAGTGAAAAAAACAAAGTGGACCGTATGTCAACAGCAATTTCTTTGCTTCGACGGATCAAAAACGAACCTTTTTTGGTTTGGCTCGTGACTGGTTATGAAAAATGTTCAACGCAAACTAACACGGAAACAGGCACACGAAGGGGCGGAACCGATGTTGAAAGGTGGATTGCATCCGATGAAGGTACTGCTGTGCATTTGGTGGGATATCCGAGGCGTGATCTATTCTGAGCTCTTGCCAGCTGGAGAAACGATCACTGCCAACAAGTATTGCCAGCAGTTGGTCGAATTGAAGAAAGCAATTGATGAAAAACGTCCGATTTTGGCCAATCGCAAAGGAGTTCTTTTCCATCATGACCCAGGCCACATATTGCAAAACCGACTCTGGCCAAACTGAAGGAGATGAATTGGGAAATCATGCCGCATCCCCCATATTCACCCGACATTGCACCTTCTGATTATCATTTGTTTCGATCGCTGCAGAACAATTTGAATGGAAAAAAGTTTACATTTTTAAAGATTTTAGGAAGACGTCAAAAACCACCTTAACACCTTTTTCAACGAGAAAACGCGCGATTTCTATGAATCAGGCATCCGTAAATTGGTTGAACGTTGGGAGTGGATTGCCGAACATGACGGCGAATACATAATTGATTAATAAAAGCGCTTATCGGGCACGAACTTATGCACTCATCCAATATGTATGTACTTATGTAAAGATTCATTAATTTAAATGCTCATTAAATTCTCTTGACCACATGCAATGTTATTAACCGCTATCGTGACACATTTGCCCACATTTGCGTTGCATTACATCACTTATCCCTCATGCTGCTCATGCTTATGATTACAGACGATGACGATGGCCGGTGGCAACCGCCAACCTAGCATACGTCTAGCGAACTCCCTCCATAATTCATGAGATACCGGCTCTTTGCTTATACACATGTATGTATATGCGCACACATATTTACATATTTATGTACTGATGTATACGCCCGCGAAATATATGCTTATGTACTTTACTTTTGTATTGTATTTACGTACTCGTATGTATGTGTCCAATGGATTGACTTTTTTCTTTTTTATTCAGTAAAATAATTCACTTTATGAGTAACTTCACATTGCGCCAAGTTTGCTCGCGATTATAGCGGTATTTATTTTGCATTCAATAATTGTCGACAAAACGCCAAATATAAGCGTATATAACAGTAAATCTTTGTGCGTCATTTTCGCTGTGAGGTACGATTTAATACTGAAGTTTGTTTTTGTAGTTAATTACATAAGATAAACGTAAAATATAAAACTTTGAAAGCGTAAATGAAATGCCGCTATTAACAGGCATTCATGGTTTTTGGAATAAATTTTATTATACTATTTCTTACACACTTTGGAAGCAATAAAAAATCCACGCAATTGTGTAGTAGTGCCGCTATGCGTGTTTCATTAGGTTATTTAAGTTTAAAATGTTTCTTACTTATGTTCATATGCACAAATGATATGTATGTTAAAACGAACGTCGGCCCGTATCTTTGTTGGAAAAAGATAATAGTCCCAGTTAGAACTTGGTTTCGAGTTCTTCACTTCAACCTAATGGAGGCGTGAGTCTGCTCTATTTACAGAATTTTTAATTTGGATTTTGTTCAAACGTTTGACGGCAACAGTAGAAGTTAAATAGAAGAAACTAAGTATTTCCTTGTCGTTGTAATCATTGGAGTGATTTTAAATAAACTACTAAAGGACTTGGCCATTTTGACTTCTACGTGGAACAAAGGTGTATTGTATCTACATATACGTCAACACCTGGAAAAGAAACATTGTGATAAAACATTTATATAATTGGCGCTTTGTAACCGTTGAAGCGATTTTCGATCGAGCCCCTACTCCAATTTATGGTGTGCATCTTGATGGTTTTCTAGCAAATGGAAAATGGAGTTTATACTAAGCCGCCTCCTAACGATCTCATGGTTTTTTATGAATAGGAATTGAGTATTGAGTATATCCTAGAACATAACACAGTGTTTTAGTAATTATTACATGCGTGTTTAAAAGGCACGGCTGATGTCATTGAAGAATCAGTTTTGTTATACAAATTAAGAGCACACGATTAATTGTTGTCAAGAACACCTATGATATATCCTAAATTTTTCTTATAATTCTTTGCAGTTTTTTGCAATTTTAAATAATATACCGAAACATTTATTTCTAGTAACTTGGACTGTCCTAGGCCGAGGACGATTTCTGTTTCTGTTTGCTACTTTACTTTGGATTGTACGGCTGAATGGAAAAATTATTTTTCAATTCTGTAAATACATATATTGGATGAGTGCATAAGTTCGTGCCCGATTCCGCTGGATGCCATTCGAGTCGTTTGAGAGTGGCGCTCGTGAAAGAAATATATACATATTATATATCGTTGGAAAGGTCCGAACTGTAAATCAAGCATAAAATAACTTCATTTTCATTTGAGTTGCTTAGTGAAAAGACGCATGGAAGATGGACAACGAAAAAGATCATATGCGTCATATTATGTTATACGAATTCCGCAAAGGAAAAACAGTAGGCGCTGCAACTAAAGATATTCGCGAAGTTTATTTGGACCGTGCTCCAGCACTCCGCACAGTAAAGAAATGGTTCGCGAAATTTCGTTCTGGAGATTTTAACCTCGAAGATCAATCTCGCAGTGGATGGCCTTCTGAGCTTGATGACGATGTTCTAAGGACTTTAGTTGCGAATAACTCACATATTTCGACGGAAGAGGTTGCCAGTGAATTGAACGTCAACAAATCAACTGAGTTTCGTCGTTTAAAAAAGGTTGGGTACACTTTGAAGCTCGAAACATGGGTGCCACATCAGTTGAGTGAAAAAAACAAAGTGGACCGTATGTCAACAGCAATTTCTTTGCTTCGACGGATCAAAAACGAACCTTTTTTGGTTTGGCTCGTGACTGGTTATGAAAAATGTTCAACGCAAACTAACACGGAAACAGGCACACGAAGGGGCGGAACCGATGTTGAAAGGTGGATTGCATCCGATGAAGGTACTGCTGTGCATTTGGTGGGATATCCGAGGCGTGATCTATTCTGAGCTCTTGCCAGCTGGAGAAACGATCACTGCCAACAAGTATTGCCAGCAGTTGGTCGAATTGAAGAAAGCAATTGATGAAAAACGTCCGATTTTGGCCAATCGCAAAGGAGTTCTTTTCCATCATGACCCAGGCCACATATTGCAAAACCGACTCTGGCCAAACTGAAGGAGATGAATTGGGAAATCATGCCGCATCCCCCATATTCACCCGACATTGCACCTTCTGATTATCATTTGTTTCGATCGCTGCAGAACAATTTGAATGGAAAAAAGTTTACATTTTTAAAGATTTTAGGAAGACGTCAAAAACCACCTTAACACCTTTTTCAACGAGAAAACGCGCGATTTCTATGAATCAGGCATCCGTAAATTGGTTGAACGTTGGGAGTGGATTGCCGAACATGACGGCGAATACATAATTGATTAATAAAAGCGCTTTCTTCAAAAAATTTCAATTTTAATTTGCACTTGATATCGGGCACGAACTTATGCACTCATCCAATATGTATGTACTTATGTAAAGATTCATTAATTTAAATGCTCATTAAATTCTCTTGACCACATGCAATGTTATTAACCGCTATCGTGACACATTTGCCCACATTTGCGTTGCATTACATCACTTATCCCTCATGCTGCTCATGCTTATGATTACAGACGATGACGATGGCCGGTGGCAACCGCCAACCTAGCATACGTCTAGCGAACTCCCTCCATAATTCATGAGATACCGGCTCTTTGCTTATACACATGTATGTATATGCGCACACATATTTACATATTTATGTACTGATGTATACGCCCGCGAAATATATGCTTATGTACTTTACTTTTGTACGTACTCGTATGTATGAGTATGTGTCCAATGGATTGACTTTTTTCTTTTTTATTCAGTAAAATAATTCACTTTATGAGTAACTGTTATTTGTTTTTGTTATTAGATACATACATATGTACATACATAATAGGTTTTTTTTCTTTTTTGGTGAAGTACACACTAAATATGATATACATATGTATGTAGGTACTTGTGGAATGTACTTAACATGATAGCGAATAACTAAAACAAACATACTATGTATTTATGTTAATACAGTGATGGAAAGCTGGCAATATAGTCTTAGTACTTGTTGAGTATAAATGTATATACATACTATATACACACATATTTACACAGGTACATAAGTACATATGTAAGTGTATGCATTTTTATATGTACAAATATTCAAGCAGTAGGTCACGAAATTTAATATTCCGATATACATATGTATGTATTTACTTACAGCATTTTATGGCATGTACATAACTATATATATATATATACTTGTACATACATACATATGTATGTATATATTTTCAATTCATAGCTTACAAAAGATAGAAACAGTCAACAGATGTGTCACTTTAATATATGTTTATATGTATGTTATTATATATATGTATGTACATAACCAATGGCACACATTCCATACGTTTATCAAATCATTTAGGTTAGATGGTATAAAATCAAGCATATTACACAGCCAAACACATCGTTAATACATACATACATACATATATACATATGTATGTACGTAGATAGATGCAAATGTTTTGCATAAAACTAGATACTAACCTGTCTTTAAACGAAAGTAAGAATAATACACGTTTTTGTTATTATTTTTCTCTTTCCTCTTCTTATTCTTTCTTCTACCTCACAGTCAAGATGCCACGCCGGATGTTTCACTTCGAATAACAAAACAACAACAAAAAATACTCTCCGGTTGTCGGCTCTTAGTTGGAAAGGGTATTAGATAAATATTTGCTGTTGCGGGCGCGTATTTCACTTCCACAATTTGTTTCGTTAAAGCTAACTTTTAGAAGATACACTTTTTTCTGTTAATGCTTTTTATTTTTTTTTTTATAATTTATTTCACTTCTTTTTTTCCGACTACCGTCCGCACTTAAAATGTGGAAAATTCTGTATTTTTTTGGATTTGTTTATTTTCAGTTACATAAATGAGTTTCGCTTTCGTTACTCCAAAGGAACTGCGTTTGCTTGGAAAAAAGAACAGGCGATATGAGCAGGTGGGTGGGTGGATACTGTTGTATACGTATGTATGTATATGTAATCGTTGCGCGGCTCTCTACACTCACTAATAAATTCTATTTACAAAATATGTACATACATATGTATATATATTTATGTATATCTATGTATGGATAAGCCTCCGAACTTGCGTAAATTTTATTTTACCAGTGAAGGCGACGGTGTATCTGCAACTACTGAGCTCTTTAGATATTTATGAACGGACACGAGGCTCACTCGCTTGCCCGCCGTCATCAAGTTAAAAAAAAAAAAAGAAACCCTCGTGGCTTTCAATTTAAATTTCAATGGCAATGCCGGCGTCGGAGTCGACGGCAACAGCAACAGCAGCAGCAGCTGTAGCTGTTATTGTTGTTAGTTGCATGTTAGCGATGGAAATCAGTGAGACATGTAGCCGAGCAAGCCGGCAGGCAGTCAAATATATAGTAGTTAATCAACAAGAAAGTGCACACTCATACCTACTCCAAACATATGTGTGTATGTACATACATATATATGTAAGTATGTATGTGCATACTTAATGTAATGGTCTGAAAACGAAGTCACTTTACTCAAACGAACACAGGAGGGTTGTAGAGGTTCAAACTTTGAGCAAACTTCTTGAGGATTTCCATTTATTATTTACTTTTACTACAAAATTTTCTAAAACTAAAAATTGCTGCAGTCGATTTTGAATTGTTGTCCTAGTGTCAATACTTTAATGAACACTTATTTTTGTCAAAATCATTATATTTTTATTTTTTTATTGTATTTTTTTCAGTACCATATTCTTATGTAGTAAATTATCATTTTCGTCTATGCCTTACTATAAGAATGTAAACAAAAGTTGTCAACCAAAACCCTGAATGTGCGAATATCCTTGAGCCCACCAGCTACAAAACCCCCTTTCAAAGTGTTTTCGATGTTGGTCTGAACAAAGTATAAAACCCTTGTTGAGTTTTTTAATTATGACGGAGAGAAAAGCAGAAAGTAAAAATTATGCTTATGTGCTTCAAAATATTAGGGAAAATATTTTAAAAATCGTATAGTTACGAATTAACTTCTATTTTTTTTTTTTTTTTTTTTTTTGTAATATTTTTTTAAATTTTTTTTTGCCATTTAGCGACATATATTTCTAGAAAGATGCTTGCCGGTTCGTAAAATTCATACGAACTGTTTCCTTTGCTTCGTTGCCCAAAAAGTTTATTTGCTTTTTTACGATATTCAGTTAGTTATTTGACAACTTCTTATTTTGTGCATTTTTACTCTTTAATAAAATTGAATAAACTATTTTCGAAAATAAAAACCTTCCCCCCCCCAAAAAAAAAATTATTATGCATACGCCCTAATTAGAACGAAAACGAGTTGTTATCTTCTTTTTTTTCAAAAAGCTAAAAAACATATTTGGTTAAATTTGGTTTTGTTTTATTTGTTTGTGCTGAAAATTGATTATCTTTAAAATAAAATTAATTAAAAAAACTGTTTTGCTCTCTGCAATGAAATGAAAAAGCGCACTCAAGTGTTTATAGCTGGTAAACAGTTGTACATAGATATTTCTATACATACATACATATATGAAATGAATGTATCTAAAGATACTCAGCCACACAAGCATATTTGAATACCTAATGTTTCTTATTTAAAATCATAACTGTGACAGCATTCACATATTTTTTTGATGAAAACCGATTGATACTCAATAAAAGTGCCGAAAATACACGCAAACCTAAAAAAAAGAAACAAAGTCATTTCAGTGCATATACCGCCTTATTACTTACATACATGCATATACCGCTGTATCTCTTAAGAAAACGCGAACGGAACGAGTAGTAATGGAACGGCACGTGAACACATTTTTCATACAATTTTCTAAGAGAGCAAAGAGAGCAAACAGTGCTGTCATATTTCCGCATTTATGTTTTGGAATAGGGGAATTTATTCTACTAGAGAGTTGGGAAAGTTTTTACAATAGATTGCATTAATGTATTCCCGCATAAACGAAATGCTTGAAAAGTTTTTGTTCAGATAATTTTGAGTTAATCTTGCTTGCTCGTCCTTCACAGTTATGTTAATAAACAACTTTGTAAAATTGTTTACATTTTTTGAAATAAATATTGTTACGATTTTGCTGAATCAACCTCGATGATTTTCTGAATCCTTCGGGTACGATCTCTGGATTGTTAAATCAAAACTCGCCAACTTAATTTGCAGTTTCTTTTGTTACAAAGAATTTATCTAATGTCCTTTATTTACTCAGTAATTCACAATTCAATTACAATGCACTTTACCAGCTACAATCACTGCATAACTTTCACAATTTACTCTACTTAAATGTAATCCCCAACGCGTTAACTTTACGACTTTACTGATGTTAACGCCAACGAGTTCACTTTGTAACTAACTTGACTTGGCAGTTGAGTGTCGCCCTTATATAGCAGTCGGCTGCTCGTAGACGAAAGTGTAGAATAACCGAGTTTTTCGCTATCGAAGGTTCTCATTTTATCGTTCTAGAATGTACTAGTTATCGGCTTCTGTCTTTCATCTGACATTCGCCTCGCATTTTCGCAACAATATTTACAAACCTTTAGTTTTCAGAATTGAAGATTAAGTTAATTTTTGCCTACTGGATAACAGTTTTATGCTTGAATTAACGAAAAAATTCATGGAAATTCACAAATACTCGAAAAACATTGAAAAATAATTCACTATTAATATTATTACACTTCACATTTTCCGAAAAAAGAAAGATTATCATGACGCACACCTCAAGTTACAGGATGAAAGCAGAACTTCTAGTAGATTCAGCATCGCGTAGTGCATATGTCAAATCTACAAATTGCCTTATGTCAATGTTTGCTCCATCCATCTCCTCCCCTCCAGCCACTACAACAAAAACAAGTAAATGAAATAGAAACGGCTTTCGCGTTCAGATAGTAATCCGCGGCGGTTTTTCAAAGGTTTCCATGGAAAACGTTAAAAATAACATCGGGCGCGCTAAGGAACATTCGTAATGAAAAATATCCTTACAGTTCTAAATATTCTCAACATCAAAGAATAGATTGAAATCGCTCCCCCTGCGGGTTAGGGGCTCAAGAATTTACCCGCGGTAAGGCATGCCTGTAGTAAGAGGCGACTAAAATCCAATAGTTCTCGCGACAGTCGGGTCTTTATACCGGAACGACCCGGATTTTTATTCGGCCAAGGACTGTCACTCCCGCAACATTCCCCAAAAAGTACTTTGGGGAATAATTTTGCGGTTACAACAACAACAACAACAGATTGAAATCGCCGCCAATAGCCCATTCCATTCATTTTATTATTCAATGATATTTATTATGCGCTGAACGGTGACGTGAAGAACGTCAAAACCTCTTGAATGTAATTTTGAACTATGGAATAGTAGGTAAGAATTGATTACAGGGTGTGGTAAGTGCAAGCTTTTCAAAAAGATATAAAGCTCTTATTTTATAAAAAAAAATAATATTTTTGTGAAAGTACCAATCCCTGAAAATGTCAAGCGTTCACGAGATTAAGCGAGACAGCAGCTCGTAAATCCAAACGTGAGATAGGAGGATTGGCGACGTCAAGGCGTATGTTCTTCGATTATTTACAGGCCTATTCTCACTGTTACCGGTAAAGTAAATTTTGTTACTTTTCTTTAACACCCGANAAGATTTGGAAAATAATCGAGGTTGATTTAGTAAAATCGTAACAATATCTTTGTAAGCGAACTCATGGGAATTCCATAGAGATAATTAATACTTTTACATGCGCATTCATACATGTACATATGTACATAACCACTGAGCTGAGTCTTTAATATTAATCTCAAGTTGAAATAAAAAATTCCCCTGAGTTACTTCTGATGCGTAATCCTAAATGATGCTACGTTTTCCAATCGGAATATTTCTTATCAGCTGAAGAGAGAAATTAAGACGGGCCTCACGCGAATTCTTTCCCATATACTTATACCCTTTCAGTTTTGACGTGTGTGGTATTATTTTGAAGGCAACAAATAGATAAGCTCAATTTCCCAAATGATTCTATAAATAAATAAAATATTTAATTTTTATTAATAACAATAAATTTGTGTTGATCATCAAAGAGATTTCAAAGTATTAAGGGTGCTTTCTTAGACGTTTTGTTTTCAAGGAGATACAGAGTGCGCCATCTATATGTGTTCAACGGAAACATTGAATAACTTCGAAAGATTTCAACCGATTGCGTGCAGTAAAAGCCTTTTGGAAAGGTTATTTCAATACAATTGCAACCATGTGTCACTTTACGCCCAAAGAACGTGCGGAAATAGTTACAATATACATTGAGTGCAGTTGTTCAGTTGTTGCAACAGAGCGGGCGTAACGGAAAAATATTCGTCGCTTGGCTTCGAATTTCGAGACCCACGGGAGACTCGTTCAGCGAAGTCAACGATGAAATTATTGCGGCAAAAGTTCCCCGGACGTGTCGTATCGAAAGGAGGGGATATCGACTAACTACCAAGATCGCCCGATTTGACTGCACCAGACTTATTCTTGTGGGGCTTTTTGAAAAGCAAAAAGTATGGCAACAAACTGAAGACTTTGGACGCGCTGAAATCGCTGCGATATCGATCGAGATGCTGGCATATGTCATGGAAAATGCCATAGTGAAGTTTCGTTTGCGCAATGAAGGTGGTCATTTGATCAACCTGGTTTTTCGAACCTAACTGGAAAAAATTGTAAGGCTTTAAATTTGATAGTAAAATAATTCATTGAAAATTGTTCAAGCTATTCAACATTTCCATTGACAACATATAGATGGCGCACCCTGTATTAACTTTTTCGGAGCATATCTTTTTGACAGCTCCTATTTTAATTAATCTCCGAAAAAATAATGGTTCGGTTCGCATGATGATCGCTGCGTTTGGTCGACGTAATCGACCATCAGAGTCGATAATTCGAGCTACAATGGATCTAAGGACCCTATACAGTACGCACCGAAGACTATATAGCTGCTGTGGAGCAGAGTATCGAAAAAGACACGAATGAGTTCACTTGCCAACGCGCGTAATAATTGGAGCACTTTATGGAATATTTTGTGGAAGGATCTTGGATTGCGGGCTTACAAGATGCAGTCGAACGGTCATGAAGCGCATATAAGGCCCTATCAAGCGTTTTGAGAGATTTGACACTGATTAAAAATTTATTTGTTATTTATTGGCGTTTTTTAAAGCAGATTACATTTGCAGCTGCCACTTAGACACAGAGTAAATGATTTTTACTGTTCTCAGATAATAAGCTTAGGTTTATCGTGCCATATTCTTTCAACCGCAACCTTGAACGACCCTTATCAACTTTGTGTTTTCTGCAGCGATTTCAGTCTGTGTTTTCTATAATATTAATCCCGGGGTTTTTGTTTTTTTACTATAAATCTACGCAATGAAGAGGCGATTTTCACTCAGTTGCCAAATAATATTCAAAATGATAAGACTGTTCAGAATAAAGGACGTGTACACCAAGCGAGAGACATACGCGAATCCAAAGTTGACATTCGCTGAAACCGTTGCGTATGCGCAAACACGTGAAACGGCGGCACTTATAAGCAGACCATCCTACAAAGTAAATAGAGTAGAGGTTGAAACACCAGATGGGATGACAGAAATATTGAGAGCTCTGAAATCGCTAGAAGAGATGTATCGTTCTGGGTTAAAAACTACTGCGGGGAAATGTTTCAAATGTGGAAAGCCTGGTCACTACGCACGTCAATGCAAAACAAGTTCCAGCAGACAGGAGGTACAGCGAAAACGGAAGGCAGAGGAAGATGCACCATCAACTTCTCAAAGTTATGACTTCACAATTGAGCAGCGCAAGGAGAATACGCACGGAAATGCTAACGCTTTGTCCCGTCGACCACGTAGTATAGAATGGAAACGTTCAAAAGCTGAGGGTAAAAAGAACATAATAGACGTCCGGCGACTGAAAGTTACGCAAGCAGAAGAGTGGGAGGCAAGTAACTTAAGGAAATGCCAGCAGGAAGACCCAGATTGTACCTTCCCTATTCAACTCTGGAGCTCGTATTATTTTCTCCAACAATAAATTAAAGAAGTCACACAATAAGGAATCACCCTGTCTAAAACCTCGTTTGGTACCGACATATCTTTCCCAATCCTGATGGAGCTTTTTGTGCTGCTTAAGGTCAGTTTACAAAGCCAAGTTCTGACGTAGCGGCTTAAAGGCAGCTTTTATTCCTGCTGTCTAAGGCTGCTGTGTGTCGACCCTCTTTTCATGCGGCTTTTCCAAGCTTTGGCGCATGGTGAATATCTGATCTAAAGACAAACTGTTTCAATCACTCTGTTGACGGTGAGCTTTAGTCTTTCACACAATGTGCTTGATAGGGCCTTATATGCGATGTTAAAGAGGCAATACTGGCACATACTTTGGGGTCCCCTTATTTATGGATTGGACAGAACACACTTAAATTCCAATCGGCCTTGCTTTCGTCCGACCATATTCTGCAAAGTAACTCATGCGCCTTGTCAGTTCTTCACCGTCATGTTTGAATAGCTCTGACGGAAGGCCGTTGTTGTTCTTTTGGCGGGCAATCACTATTCGAATTTCGTCATAGTCGATTAATGGAATGTCCATCGCCATCGATTGGGATTTCGGGTTCACAATTTTCGGCGTTTCATTTTCACTGCCATTCGGCAAACTGGAGAAGTATTCCCTCCATAAATTCAGTATACTCTGGGCATCCGCCACTTGAATATCACTCTTGAAACCGCAATCCTAGATTGTCGTTCGGGAAAATCATATCCTCCAAGTTCAGGTCTCTACGATCAGTAGTTTAGGCTGTGCAAATTGGATAAAGACAAATGACAAGCTCACTTTCGATGTGATTTTAGCCTAGGGAGGCCATGTAACTTCTTCAATACTCTGAACTAATGCCACTGTCGAAATTTACCGTTAAATGACGTGTCATTACTCTAAAGTTCGGTGATTTTCGTCATCTTCAGTAGAATTGCGCTCAGATCTGTGATTTTTTTCTTTTAAAACTTTTCGTAATCCGTCCGTTTTTTAAGTTAGATTGACAAAACGTAAATATTTACATATGCATATTAGCCAATAGGTGAATTTATTCTATTTATTTTTATATTATCCAATGAATTATCATACAATTTTTCAAATTATAAACCAATTTTACATATAGGCAATGAATATTTTAAACAAACGAAAGGTCTCTCGAAGCACTAAACAAAATTATGTTGCCATTTACTCGTATATGGATTTTATTTCGAATTTGCTCTAAGTTTTACGACGATTGCACAAATCTTATTTCCACGCAACTCAAAGTACTGTTCAAGCCGGCGAGAGGGTTGCTTAAAGATCTAGCCTGTTCATCCGAGTCCTTCACCTCTACATAGATCACATTCGGACAACTGGCAAAGCTAATTGTATTGTTGTTACTGGCATTACCATTACCATTACCAATACCATTCCCTTCCTCCAGAAAATCAGAGAGACATTCATCAATTAAGCGTGTGGCGGCGCCGATCGAAGTCAAAATCGAGTTGTATTGCGTGTAGGTACAGGTCACAGCAGTATCGATGTGTTCCTCGAGACTGCAACGTGCCGTCTGCATGGCCGGGTCAAAGTTTGCGCGATTAGTATGTGTGTAGGTGTTAACTTTGGAAATCTGCAATGAGAAGGCATAGAAGTATTACTCAATCTATTATTTGTTTCAACCCGTCATTCTGCGAGTACTCACCACTGATGTAACGCAGAGCGTGTAATTCAATGAAGAATTGGCATTTGTTTTTGCGCAAGCGTTGAGATCATTATTCAAGTCGGTTTCGTAGTACTTCCTCAGAAGGGTGTAGTATCTAAGTGCCGAACTTATAATGTCGTTCGCATAGTAGGGTGAAGTAGGTATACAGCTTTCAATATTCGCCTTGATAATGTTGGCAGATGGCACCTCTTTGCGATATTGCTGTACACAGTACTTGGCGGGTAGGCCCAGTACTCATTGGTTTCCTGTATTGTGCGCAGGAAAAGTGCCTTTTGTTTGTCAAGCACGCTCAATTCTAACTCAAGGTTCACCGGGATGGTATTTAGTTGATCCTCATAACTTTGTAGTGTGGCATTATATTGACGACGATTATCGAGTATGTAGTCCTCGACGTTGGTAGTTACATTGCCAATTATGAAGCCATAAGTTGGCGTTTGCCCCACTGCGATGAGGATAACTTGCAAAGCGAGTACAACGCTGACGAGCTGCCTGGTAGTATACATTTTGAAGTGAACGTATCAAATAGCTGATTTTACCTCATTTATATAGCGAAAAGTCGGTCGGGAAATGTTATTCTATTGACTTAAATCGATTGTGCATAACATATGTGCTTAGCGATTGTAAGCGAAATAAAGCATGCTCAAATGTTTATATATCGAATATATAAATAGGTGAGCAGCTGCCACGTTTATTTTACTTTTTGTTCTCAACAAAGAGATGTTAGAAGAATGCAAGTTATCAGCACAAAGAATTTGAGAAAGGTGTTGCAGTTGTTGATAATAAAATTCAAATTCCTTGATATTTAAGTCTGTTTGTCGTCAAAAAGTGCACAAAAAGCTTCAGCGAATACCATTTCTTGAGCTGCCAATATTGAAATTATTTAAGACTGGAGCACACACAATAACCAGTAAATAAAACCAACTCATCATATCACATCGACATATCAAATCATTTCAACAAATTAAATCGAGTCACATCAACATATCACGTCATTTCACATCATATCAACACATCACCAGATCAACAGATCAGCACTTCGCCGTAATAAAAATATGCGTACATCACACAGTAGCAACATATGTTATGCTTATATGGTTATGTACAAGCCTTTTAACATGTAAAGCCTTCACGAATAAACCTGTATAAAGCCCAGCCTCAATTTTAAAATACAAAAGTCCGGTGAGCATATTGTAGTAGCAATACGAAGACCCTACGAGGTAGTATCAGTTTTATGTAGGAGAAGAAGGTGAGGATCTACATAGCCTTTTGAAAACTGATCAATCATTTAGATATGACGAATAAGGTCGCAGTGACGTACTACTCCATGATTTTACGAATATATTCAGATATTAGGTCATGTAACAAATCCTTCATTATTTTTGCAATAGAAAGCTTCAGTGACCTGCATTTTGCGCTCTATAAGAGCGATTGAATTACGTTAGATACGAGTAGTGTTGGAAAATTGATATTTAGTTCCAAAAAAATATAACGTTAGAAGCGTTGATTTCTTAACTTAGTAGTGTTTTGGGCGCATATCAAAGATGGACACCAGCAAAGCGAAAATTCGCTATATTCTATAATTTCTCTTCTAAAAAGGGGAAAGCGCCAGTCAAGGAGCTGAAAATATTTATTGTGTTTACGGTCATGAACGATTTTGGGATATGAACCCGAGCCTTACACTCGGCTGCAGCGGCCGAATGTCATTAAAATAATGACGATAATAATATCGTCCAGTCTGAGTTAGGAGCTAAACATTGCACAAAAACAGTTTGGCACCAATTTAAAAAGGCTGGACATACAAATGAGCTCGACGTTTGAGTGCCACATGAATTAACTAGAAAAAAAATATCATGAACCGAAATTAAATCTGCGAAGCGCTGCTGAAACGAAACAAAATCGACCCATTTCTGCGGTGACTGGTGATGAAAAGTGGATTACTTACAGCAACGTCTGGGGAAACGGTTGTGGTGGACTATCAGGAACGTTTCGTTGTATTTTTGGTGGTATTAATAAAGAATCATCCATTATGAGCTACAGGCACCTTAATGAGAATGACTCGCCAGATGCTCCGAGAGTTTGGTTGAGCCGTTCATACCACCTTATAGTTCGGACCTCATACCTAGTGGCTACAATCTGTTCTTGTCTATGGCGAACGATTTGGTTGGTGAAGAATTGGCCTCAATGGAAGCCTGTGAAAATCGAATGTCCCAAGTTTTTGCCAACAGCATCAAGAGTTTTTAAACGATGCATATTTGACATAATTCAGAAATGGGAAATAATGCTCTCATTTTATTGCAAAAATAATGGATTACTAATTACTAGGCCAATACATCATCCTTGACATATAAGTACCTTTAGTAAATACTTTTATCTCCCTCTCTATCTCTGCTAATTTAGAGGTTATGTTCATTAAAAGTTTAAAAAAAGAGAAAAGAAGTCTACTTTGGTGTTATTTTTATTTACATTTATTGGTTGCAGACAAATAATATAAAAAAATATATAAGTTTATCTACCACAACTAAATAATTGTTTACACTATTCATATGACGCAGTAAAAAATTTTATATTTTATTGAATTTCATAATTTTATAGCATTATTTGTTCAATTTCATGTTCTACCTGAAGCAATGACTCTTCCCAATATTAAGGCACCCTTTGTTGGAGTGCATGAACGGTACTTAGAAATGGTATGGCGAATAGTTATTGACACGAAAAACATTATTAAAGTAAGTTTTTTTCAATATTACCACAGTGAAATTTTATTTGGCATTTAAATATATACTAAAAACAAATATTTTTAAATATTTCTGCAAAGTCAAATACTGATCAATACACACTCACTCAGTCTATAAAACCTGAAGCACTTCTCTCATGAGTTAGTAATTTTTTTTTTACTCATATTTACACTTTTTGAATCAAACAAATTTAATTTCCAAACACGTCTGATTCTTAGATACTCCCTCTAGTGGGTTGGAACCCGAAGTTTTATTGTTGCCATCGCCATCTTTCACCTCCATATACACCACATGTGGGCAGCCATAATTGATGACTGTCGAATTATCCACACAACTTGGTTTGTTTTCCAGAAAACCGTTAATGCAATCGTCGATCAAACGATTCGTGGCACCGAGTGAAGTCAAAACAGAAGTGTACTGTATGTATGTGCAGCTAACAGCGACATCTATGCGACTGCTCAAACTACAATGTGAGGATTCAATGGACGCGGCAAAGTTCTTGCGACTGTTTATGGTGTAAGTGTTGGCTTTGGAAATCTGTAAAATATTTTTATATAGATAAAATATAAATTTATAAAATTTTATATGATAATATATAATATATAAAAGTGACTCACCACTGTTGTAACGCAGAGTGTGTAGTTTAATGAGGGATTTTGGTGTGCTTTCAGGCAAGCATTGAGGCCATTTTTCAAGTCGGCATTATAGTAGTTGTTCAGTGTGTTATAGTAGTTGGTGGGTGTGCTGACAATGCTGTTGGCGTAGCCGCGTGCGCTTGTGATGCAACTCTCAATATTCGCTTTGATTATATTCACATAGGGCAATTCATTGCGATATTGTTGCACGCAATATTTTGTTGGCAAACTGAGCACCTCCAAGGGGTCAACACGTTCATTGGTTTCCTGTATTGTCTGCAGCAATAGCACCTCCTGCTTCTCCAACACTTCCAATTCATCTTCCAGAGTCTTCTTTATGCCATTGATTTCATCCAAATACGCTTGAAGTGTTGCATTGTATTGACGACGATTCTCAAGGATGTAATCATCGGTCTTGGTGCTGACATTCCAAACACCAATGTTATTGTTGCTATTCACAACTAGCGGTGCTTGTGCCACTACAGTGGCGATCAGTTGGAGCGCTAACAAGGCGCTGATAATGTGTTTTGTGCTGCTTGCGTACATCTTGTAAACTAACAATCGCAATGATTGAATTCGCACACTTTATATAGTGCGAAATATAATATTAACCGCTTTCTTATCGGTTTTTGGGCATAAAAACGGCATAAAATTCTGATGATAAAAAGCCCCTTAAGGTGATAAAGGCAAGACAGTCAAATGTTCAAGTGACTAACTTTATGGTATGCAAGTACCTGCCTACCTATGTATGTGTGTATGTTTGTTTAGGTTTTAAGTTATACAAGTGCATGTGTATGTTTTTTTTATTCATTTTTAATACAACAATAATAAAAATTAACAGTTCCCGTTCAAGTAAATAAACTCAGATTTGTTTTAACAATTGCATTATCAAAATATTAATTATCTATAGGAAATCGCAAGAATTAATATTAAATAAATATAAGAAGAAGTCGATTATCGGTGGCGTAGTCTAGCGGTTATTGCTCTGGGGGTTTAAAAAATGTGCAGCCATTCCCTTATATGCGGTATAAAGGTTCGCTGGATTTTGAATAGCAGTGTGTTTGCACTAAAAGGGCTCCAGCGAATGGGCATCGATCATGAAATTTCTGCGCAGGTGCCGTTGTCTAGTTGGTTGATATCTTCGTAAGACTAAAGGCTAACGTCAGAGTTGTTGTTGCCGTGTAAAAAAAAAATATTTATATACCCTTGTCATAATTGTGTTGTTTTTACCGGCAGATATAATGTCGATACTCTCACTGCATTTTTTGCCACAGCCGTGCTACTGTTCCTTACCCAAGACTATTAAAATGTATTAAACTACAGGAATAAATAATTAATTTTACTAAGGAACCTGAAATAATAAAATGTTTCTATCATCCTACGATACACCTGATATATGTATTTAGTGGATATGACATAGAGGATCGTGTTAGTTAGTAAGGAAAAAAGCAATATTTGTTTCTCATCAAAACAATTTAATTAAAAAAATGTATTCATTAATTATTCAACAAGCGATAAGCATTATAATATAACTGAAAAATATATCCAATCAATTGTTTTTTCGCAAGTGATTTCTCAGAAAAATTATGAATTTATCTATATGTAACAAACATTCGTGTGTGTATATGTTTTTGCTCTTGACTTTATCACTGCATGGCAATTGAGTATTGTTTACAAAGACTTATGAATCGTAAGGGGAAGTACTACACACCTGAATTTGAAGAGAGTGAAGGTAACACAAAGCAATTTGAAGGCAGGAAAACAGGAAGAAGTTGTAAAAATGTAGATCTTGCATTTTCGTGTAGGAGTATAAAAGCAGTTAGATAAATTATAAAAGATATATATTGGGTTGCCCAAAAAGTAATTGTGGATTTTTCANTTTAGTCACTCGCCAAAAACTGAGCGAGCTTGGCTGGGAACTTTTGATGCATCTACTATATAGCCCTGACCTTGCACCATCAGACTACCATTTATTTCGATCTTTGCAGAACTCCTTAAATGGTAAAACTTTCGGCAATGATGAGGCTATAAAATCGCACTTGGCTCAGTTTTTTGCAGATAAAGGCCAGAAGTTCTATGAGCGTGGAATACTAAATTTGCCAGGAAGATGGCAAAAGGTTATCAAACAAAATTGCAATTATATATTTGATGAAAGTTCATTCTAAGTTTTATTAAAAATGCATTTACTTTCTTTCAAAAAATCCGCAATTACTTTTGGGCAACCCAATATGTATATACATATATACAAATATCGCTTTGTAACCGCTGAGGCGATTTTCGGCCAAGCTCCTTCTCCGATTTGTGGTTTTGCGTCTTGATATTTTTTCCAACAAATGCAATAGTCCGAACGTTTAAACGGTTTAAAAATTATATATTTAAGTAATTTTCTTATTGTTATTATTAACTGCTATTTTAGTACAATACATAGGTCAAGGTAGCAACATTATAGTTACTATTAAAATTAGCCGATTTTTTCTACTTTCTTATCTGCTTGTACATACATACATACGTGTATATTAATTCTATTATTTATTTTTCATTTAGTTAAACTAACACCAAAACACCCGCCATTTCACGAGCCTTCTTCCAAGTTATAAAAAAGAATAAAATAGGACATATATATGCATACACAGGGTTATCCATCTCGTGGGTTCAAATGTACAGGGATATATTTTGTCATCTGTCAAACTTAGCCGGCAAATCAAAGATTTTTTGTTTTAGTTAACAGTCCGGAATTTATGAAGTTGAAGTTGGTAAAATCTACCTGTCATGCTTTAAAGAAATTTGAAGACTCTATACCGGTTGCAGATATTGTAAGGCCTGTGCATCATCGTTTTGCTCGTTCTACCTCAAACAGCGCTACTGTAAATGTTAAGGAATGTAGGCGAAGACTCGAATGTGTATATTTCTTGACATTTTCAAGAGCCGGAAGTCTATTACTCCACATTCTGGCATATTTTGCATTGGGACTTACACCTATATCCATGTAATCCCAACTCACAAAACAACTGAAGTCAGCTAACCATTCGAAGCGTGTTTCCGAAGCTTCCAGACCGGACATTTTCCCCTAGAGGACGAGCCCTCAGAAGGTCCTACAAAATATTCCACTGATGATGTCATTGTAGCTCTGGTGAAGTTCAAAATTGAAGAAAACCCACAAATGAATTTGGCTTAAATGCCATGGCTGTATTGCGAATATTAAGTAATCATCTGGGATACACGAATTCTATTGGTTTCACGAATTTTAAATAAGGCCCAAAAAGAAGCTCGAGTGCATTTTGTTCAATTTTTCCAAAAACAAATTCGGAAATGGTCAGTCTAGCAACTTTAATAAAATCGTTGCTGGTGACGCATCTTGATTCTATAAGTACAATCCAGGATCCAAATAGCAGTTCATGGTATGGAGCCCAACAGGTTAAAACCCACTCGTAAAATCTAAGCAACAAAAGTCAGCACCAAAAGTTTATGATGTGAGTTTACTTAAGTCGATCTTTAATTGAGCTGCTATTCCACTGCAAAAGAATCAGACGGTAACTGCAAAATGATGCACCGAAGAGTACTTACCAAAAGGTTTCCAAAATTTTTTGGAAAACAGGAAGAAAGAGGATTTGCAGCGCTACTTTTTACTTCAATGGCAAAACGCCATGAAATAACGAGTAATTTTATGGCAATCTCTGGGATCGAAGAAATACGCCCAACACCATATTCCCCGAATATAGCACCTTGTAATTTCTGGTTATTTCCAAAAATTAAAAAAAAAAATCCTTCAAAGTAAAGGTCTTTAATAGCAACGGGGAGATAATTAATGCGGTTCGTGCTGAACTTGATAAGTTTAAATGCCAAAATTTTGAAGACTATTTTCAGAAGTGGATCTACAGGCTTGAGAAAAAAAGAGAAGATTAAAAAGGATAAGGATTACGAATAAATACAAAAAGTATTTTTTCAATTTTTTTCTGGTCAACTAACCAAACTTTTGTTAATCCCCTCGTACATCGAAGCAGTGAACGTTGATTTTTCGAAAAAAAATTTCTTCAGCGACGAGGGATATTTCTTACTTGTGGGATTTGTAGATAATTCTTAAAAAAAGGAACTTGCTGTGTTGCTCGGAGGTGTGTTTGGACTTTACTCCTTTGAAAACGACAACGACGAGACTCTCACTATGTCAACTTGGAGCGTTATAGTCGGAAGATAACCTATTTTTTTTTTTTTGCCTGCAATTTAAGAACCCGGCTTGTACCATATGAGTTTTCAACGAGATGGTGCCATAGCCATACAACCTTGGCAATGTCAGGTGGACAACGAGATGGTGAGATCTGACACCATCGTTGGACTTTTTTTGTGAGGCTACACAAACTAGTATGTTTATGAGAATAAACTTTCAACTTTTGAGTACTTGAAAACCAACATTCGTCAAGTTATGGCCGAGGTACGATATAATTTGTGTCAAAAAGTGTTTTAAAATTACCTCAAACGGATCGTAGCTTGAAAAAATCGCGCGGCGGTCATTCGAATGTTGCAGTGTTTCACATATAATGCCAAATCTAAAAAGTAATTTGACGAAAAAAAAACATTATTTTAGTTGCATTTTATTTATGTTTATTTTCAAGACCACAAAATGGATAACTCTGTGCAAGTAGTTATAGAATGTTTGAAGGAATGATAAAAATTATTGTGTTATTTTGGTTATTAAGGGGAAAAATAAACAATTTACAGTTACCTTAGTGTATAAAAATAAAACAGGTGCTTGTTGATGTCTTATCTTTCGGTTTATTTTTCGCATTTATTGTTTCATTGAAAGTTTCGCTTATCTAATTCTTTGATATTTCGTAGCTTGTGATCTCTAGCTTGTCTGTGCATATGTTTGTGTATATCCACATGCATACATTTAATTGCTTATCTTTGATAGGTCTGCACTTATTTATAATACACCAAGAATAAATTGAATTAAATACATAAAACCAATAACCGGAAGACGGTTTTTCAAAATAGATTGTCATATTTCGGATGAAAAATTTTAATCTCTTTAATTAAAGCATGCGCATGCTTATATGTTATGTATATATGTAGATGTGTACACAAATTTATCATTTTCTTTCTTTTTTGTAAATTAAAGCTAATTTTAACTGCTATAAAAATGTTATTGCCGTTAAGTAAATTTGAGTTATTTCACTACAAACAAATAAGGCATAACAAAGCTTTAGAATCTTCTTTAGCTTATTGTGACAAAATGAGAATAGTAAATTTTACATATTTACATACATACATATAAGTACATATATCTGCTTATTTCATTTCCTATATATACACAAGTGTGAAACTGTCATTTAAGCACGAGTAGAACAACAATTTTTCATTTTGTAAACAAATTATTTATAAAATCCATTTGTACTAAAGCTCTATAGAATTATTCTCAGTAAATAAAACTTCTATTATCCTGCGATAGCTAAAATTCCTTTATAACTCGAGCTCTCTGCGGTCATTCCAAAGCATTTTCACCTTTGATGACCATGGCAATCTTATAGTATTTCATTTTAGTATTAAATATTATCTGAAAAACTGTTTGGAGGCCCCTATATGATGAAGTTTTCCCATTTTGATGATTTTTGGTGACAAAGTTCATTTGCATATAAGTAGGTACGTGTGTAGAACACTAAATCTCACGCTTCGGTTGCTTCTTTATCGAACTTTTGAACTAAAATTTCATATCTGAAATCGGTTGTTTGGAGCCTATATAATATGTAGATACAAATATCTAATACCAAATTGTATACTCTTAGATGCTTTCTTGACAAATTTATGTCTCAAAATTTCAAATCCGATTTAGCCGATTCCGAGAAATGATCCCTTAAATGTAATAGTGCATCCGTGTACCAGGTTGGGTTGAAATAACTTAGAGATTAGAGACAAACAGATAGGCAGACGGAAACGGCTAAATCTACACACCTTGTCATTCCGGCCCAATCGGTATAAATTTTGATGGGTCCATCTCTTTTTCTTCTGGTACTTACATACCATGGGGCCAAAATTAATGGACACCGATTGTCCGGACAAAGTATTGTAGTTACGCTACTTAACGCGATCAATGACGACTGGATAAGAAACTTATTCAAATTCGTTAAGAAGGTGCTTTTGGAATTCAAGCCCTTCCTCACTCTCTGCGGTCCCGACTGTCTCTCTGCGTGTTTATCTTATGGAAGAGGTCACGACCCATCATTAAAAAAAATTTCGCTTCTTTTTAGTTAGCACATTATCATAGTCGAATTGGCATGCCCAGACTTTTTGATGATGGCAGAAGGTGGTAGGGAAGTGCCCTATCATGAATGTTCCGTCGTCCCATTGTTACCCAGTATATTCATGTGACCTGGGACCCTTATTAGGTTTTGAGAGAACTACTTAACCATCACGTTTAGTGATTTGCGACATTTTAGGGTGCCCTGCTGGGCTCCTAAAGCCAGCTGGCTATGCGAGGAGTTCGCCGATTCCACTTGAAACGAAGTGACTAGCAGGCGAGGTTAAGAAAAATGTTGCTTAACAGATTTTGTTTTGTGATTTCTCTATTCTTCACTGCAACATCTGTTTTGAAATTTTCCATATAAATTCAGTTTTGCTATACTTTAACTAGGCTTTAAGTCATAAAATACCAATTAGTTTTTGGAGAAGTTAAGCTTTTCATTGTGATATGCCTCTGTTCTGCATCGCTCTGTAGTCAGAGTTTTATCTTTCTGGCAAAACTACTTGATTACCATAAGCTTTACCGCCGGTTAGACCCTCTGTCTGGGAAAATCTTGATAAAGAGAGAGAGAGAGAGAATCAAATTGCTATGCCCAATTAGAAAGTAAATTTTACAAAATTTGAGTACAAATTAAAACTAATAAGAATACTTAGCCAAATCTATTATTTTTTCAACTTTTATTTACAAAAAAAATTTAAAAATAAATTTTAAAAAGTTCAGAAAGCTTTTTAACTTAAACGACCCACTTCAGGAGTGGAAGTTCAGATCAAAGTACTACTCAAAAAAGTTGTGAAACCATTACAGTACGCACGTTTCCGACCCTCTTTAAAGTCTTAGTACCACTTATGCACGTTCTTCTGCGACATAGTTGAGTCTCCGAAGGCTTTCTTTAGCATCCTTTAACGTTTCAGCAGCCGAAAACTCGTTCCGCAAACCAAATTTGATCGGACTTCTTTGCTCAATTAATTCGGATATTATAAAAATTGTCAAAGGCACTTTTGGTCGTTTCGTAAACACAAGCGTAACTAAAATACCAATACCAATGAAATAAAAAATAGAATTAACCCAAATTAAAAACTCACCCTACTTTTTGCCTACATTAATATGTCTGATTTTGGATAACAAATGCAGGATTTGTAGGGAATGTGTGGAGACTGTATAGCACGAAATTTATGCCTATACAGCATTTAGCAGAAAAAGTCTATGCAAACTTGACGCAGAAAGGTAACAAAACCTGCAAGCGGCACTTAAATCCACAAAGAGAATAGCAATGTTCTTCACACTGGAGACACAATAAAGTGCAAAGTAGCTGCATAGCTTTGTCGTATGTAGCGTGCCGCGTGACTATCGACGAAATATCATCTATGGGAGAACCGATTCAACATAACCTAAACAATAAACTAGTCCCTACATACACACAGATATCACGAAATGAACTTTTACGCGTATCTCAGGTTTCGCTTATTTCCAGCATATTTTGACAAGTTTTTGACACTTTTTAAAGAGGAGAGGAACCGAATTTATTACTCCTTGTTTAGGAGACTATGCCAGAAAGCTTATGGAAAACACTTATTGCAAGCGATTCGAATATAAAACCACACACGTAGAGAATCTCTGAAAACTTAAGCCGGGATGAAGGAATACCAAGATGAAAGATTTGTGAACGCACTAATTCGTTTAATAAGTATACACATATATTTATTTATATTTTTTTTTATAATTTCTTTACAAACACAATCACAATCTCCAAATCTAAAACTTTTCATTTAGTAGCGCAATATAAGAAAATTGCGAAAATTCACTAATTATAGTTCATCCAGTTCAACGAAACTCAATCTGTCGCTGTTGGTGTACTGTGAAGGGAAAACCGTGTATATGTATGTATTTGTAGTAATTCACAAAAAATGCGTTGTTAGTAAGAAAAAGAAAACAAACACTTAAACAATTTTCAGCGCTGAACACCTGGAAACACCAGTTTCAACTTCTATCTCTCCATCTAACTAACGCGCTTGAAACGATTCGCTTCCGCATAGTCCCGTGGGTCTGAGAAATTTCGCTCCGGCTTGATACGTATATCATTGGGATCTAGTTGAAATTCACCACTCCATTGTGTTGGCAAAATTGTGGGTTCTGTATTGTATTGATAATATTCAGCGTCATCGGAACGATTACGATCCGGTTGTATGCGTGTTTCACCGCTTTTGGCGAATGTGCCATCCCAGCTTACAGGCAAAACGATCGGCTCGTTGCTGTAACCGTAGAAATTGGAGGTATCCGTAACATTTTGATTGTGTCGACGTACTTTGGAAACATTATTCGCTGCGCCATTATCATAAACGAATTTGCCATTCCAACCCTCACATTTGATGGGTATATAATCACTTTTCTTTCTTAAGGGCATCCTGTTGGCGCTGTATTTGTGTATGTATGTGCGTGTATGGGTGCTTCAAAAGAAATGAAAATTAATATTATCCTTTTTATAATCCTTTCACTGTAGGCTGTAGCTTAAGCCTTATGGGCCGGTTTTCTCTTTATTTATTATTTCTTAGTTTTCCGTTAATTTTTACCAGCTCGTTTGCTTTGTTGGCGTTCTAAAACCGTACTGTGAAAATCACGCAGTTTGCCTATTTTAAAATATGAAATCGCTGCGAAAGTTGTTCGACCAGCTTATGATGATTGTTTGAGAAAAACACAATTTATTATGGCCACGAAAAAATTTTGCTTGGTAGCTACGCAAATTGTTGTTGCCTTGAATGTTGCTGTCGTTTTCGCCCACACTAAAGCTGTGCTCTGTTTTTCTCTTTACATTTTGTTTCTATTTTATTTTAATTTATTTTATTTTATATATATACAAATACCCCACAAATTTGTCGGATCCAATCATAACGCGAGTGTATCGTCGCAGCTTCGCCTTATAAGCTGAAAATCTCGACACGTCCGAACAACAAGAGGTTTTGGCGCGGAGGCGGCTATTTTGTAAAGTAAATAAATATTGTATAATGACTTTAGAAAATGGGAGAAACGCGCTGAGCTCGGCATTATTATGACGCGGTTGTACACGTTTTCAGCAGCCAATTGTTACCTGCAAAGATACCTACACCCAATTATTAGACAGCAACAAACCTGACTCATGGCTTTGAGCAATTAGCTTACGTCTTTTTTAGCTTTTTGGCTATTTTTAGCTGTGGCGTTGTGTTTTGATTTTTATTTTTTGGCAACTGGCTTAATAGCGCTTGTTTACACCGCGCATTTTTTAACCTTTTCGCTTGCTATAAAAGGGTGATTTTTTAAGAGCTAAAGGAATGTTTTCAAAAAAAAAAAAAAAAAAAATAACCAAAACAAATAAAATTTAGAAAGATGCATGAAATCTTTATTCGAATCGATAGTACGGTCCGTATAACTTAATGTTTGAAGATTATTTCATGCAAATGTTGACCGTGACTGCGCCTCAAATGGTCCATACGCTTAGTCCAAAGTCCAAAATTGGCAAAATCTTTCCAACATTTCCGACGTTATCTCACGAATAAATGCTTCAATGTTGTCCTCCAATGCGTCACTTGAAGCGGCGCCGTCTGTATAGACATTAGATTTAACATAGCCCCAAAAAATATGGTCTAAAGGCGTTAAATCGCACGATCTAGGCGGTCAATTGACCGTTGCCGAAAGGTGAAATAAAATGTTCACCGAACTCGCTTCTCAATAAGTCCATTGTTACGCGTGCTGTGTGGCATATGGCTCCGTATTGTTGAAACCACATGCCACATAAGTCAAGCTTTTGCATTTTGGGCAAAGAAAGTTTGATATCATCTTACGGTAACGTTCACCATTCACAGTTACGTTACAATTCCCACCATCTTTGAAAAAGTACGGTTCAATGATGCCACCAGCACTTAAACCACACCAAACTGTGACTTTTTCTGGATGCATTCCAAAATCGACAATTCTGTCTGGGTGCATATAACAGATAATAGAATTCCATAATTTGCAAGCTTTGTTTCGATTCTTGGTTAAATTATAGACCAAACTGCAGATGTTTGACAGTGATACAAAAAAAAAATTGCTAAAATATCACCCTTTACAAGCTCGTCAGCATTTCTATGCGCCTGCGCGTTCCTTATGCTGACGAATGTGAATTAATAATTCCGAACACATTTGTTATTGCTGTTGTCGTCGGTTCGGGGGACGTCTAATTTTTGCACGTTTGGTTTTTTGCTTTCGTTAAATGCAATTAGATTACTTATGATTACAATATAATTTGTTGCTATTATTGTTTATTGTTTTATTTCCGTATTTGCAATAAAACAAGCAGTTAACACTGACGGCATAGATGTGTGGGCGACAATTTCAATATCGATATTGCATTACAGTTTGCAATATATGGCAACGAAATCTCGATAAACAAATCTTTATATATGTCTTTAATGATTATATAATTGAGCAGTAGCGAATAGTCATATAAGGTTATATTAGAATTTTAGAGAGAAAATAATAATTCTTCCTAAAACGTACATATGTAGATTACATAAATATTTAGATATTAAAAAATATGTATGCATGTATATATTAGAGCTTTAGACAACCGGGTATCGAGCACTGTGAGCAGCTCGATATTCGTTCGTTGCTCAACTGCTCAAATGATCGTTTGAAAATTTTCTAATTTCAATTTTGTTTGACAAAATCTGTTTAGTATTTCAATCAGTTTTACACTTTGCATAAATAAAATTAAAATTATTAAAGAAAATTTTGGGAAAAAAATCAAATTTTTTATTCCAAATGCTCGGAAATTTTCGAAAAAATTATTGAGCTCTAGTATATATGTATGTATGTCTATGATACATGGCAAATTCACACACGGTAGTAGCAAGAATAACAAAAATCCTATGTATTTTGTTTGTGGAATCATAGTTTCGAAAAGTCAAAAACGAAAATCGTTCAATGCATTTTGTTCGTGTAGACGAACGTTCGAGATGTCGAAACCTATTTCTCATGTATTTTGTTTTTGCAATTTGTGGAAATAGAAGTACGAACAAGCAATCATATGATGTGGAAACTTCACCTTGTATAAATTCGTCTTGTCTATGATACAAAAATTCTATAAGATAATTTCACTTAGAAATCTTGGATACTTGCTCAGAATTGCTTGATCTTGCCACTTTTTAAGCTTTCAACTCGGAATTTTTTAATTATTTTTGGGGTTATCTTCAAACTATATAGATATAATTAGCACTTTAAAACCGCTGCAGTGATTTTTCGGCCGAGCTCCTCCTTCAATTTGTGGTTTTGCATCTTGATGTTTTTCCAGTAAATGGAGGGAACTACAGTTTATACTAAGCCGCCTCCGATCGACTGATGGTTTTTTACGAGGAGCTTTATTTCATTTCCGACATTCCCTGCCTAGGGGCGACCTCAATTAGAAAATTTAACTTGAATGGCAGTATGCAAATCTAACCACTCGGCTACCGCGGCTGCCAAGTTCCAAGTAGATGTTATACAATAATATTGAATACACGTATTGATTTATTAAAATATGTATTTATTTTAAACCCTTATCCTTAGACGGTAGAAGTAAGAAGAGGATTTGCAAGATAGATAAATGAAAAGGAAAGAATTTTTTTCTTTTTTTTTCTCAACTATATGCGAAACGTACGTGGTTTGAACTGTAGTTTCTGACCGGTTAGAGATAGTCATGACCCCGCTAAACTCTACGGTCTCGAAAATTTCTTCTTCGATTGCTTGGCATATATTGCATCTCTAAGGATCAATAATTTCCTCAACTTCCTAAAATACTCCAAGCGGTTTGAACATCTGGAAAGGCAGTACAAAATTTTCTTGTAACATCTCAAAAGCTGTGAGACCGCTGTGTATTCTCACGTAGATATAGCAAATCCAGTCAGTTCCTGATCTTCTTGAATTCGATTTCTGACACTTTTTTCAATTTACTAAAGTAACAATACAGCTATCATGAAAGGGAGTGTATGAAGTCCACTATCGGTGGTTGAAAAATACAATATATTAAGTGACTTTTGAGGTTATCCATTATTTTTGCATTGAATTTAATTAGCAAAGGGCGAACCCAAAGTCCACGAATGTCAACCCCTCCTAGTGTATTTCTGACATTAATTAAAGTGCCGTTCGGAGGCACCCTAGTATAAACTGCAAAACCACAAATTGGACGAGGGCCTCGGCAAAGAATCGCTTCAGCGGTTACAAAGCCCCAATTATATACCGACCTTAAGTAGCACTAAAAGCTAAAAGTATAGAGAAAGACCCCCTCCAAACCGTTCGACACCAAGCGAGGTTTCAGAAAGGATGTGATATCTTCAATTTGATGCTGGAGAAAATAATAAGAGCTGCAGAGCTGAACAGAGAAGGTACAATTTCCTCCGCTGGCAACCGCCGCTGATATTGACATCATTTGCCTCATGGAAGCGAAGCGTATGGGTCGGGTGGTGAGCGAGGACTAAACGAAATATCTTTTGTCATTAAACAAACAATCATCGCATTCGTGACCTGGCTCCCACGCCACTGTAGACGATCATGGCTACGAAGTCGTAGATAATTTCATCTATCTACGGACCACCATCATCACTAATAATAATGTCAGCCTTGAAATCCAACTCAGAATGCTCAGATGCTACTTTGGGCTGAGTAGACAATTGAAAACTATAGTCCTTTCTTGACGAACGAAGACCAATCTTTACAAGTCGCTCATCATTGTCGTCCTACTATACGTGGCAGAAGCGTGGACGATGTTAACATATGATGAGTCGGCGTAAGGAATTTTCGAGATAAGATAAAGAGATAAAGCACTCAACGCATCGGGAACAGCGAATACCGCAGACGATGGACCGATGAGCTGTACGAGTTATACGATATTGACATAGTTCATCAAATGAAGAGACAGCGGCTACACTGGCTAGGTAATGTCGTTCGAATGGATGAAAGTGCTCCAGCTTTGAAAGTATTCGATGCAATATTCGCATATGGATGCAGAGAAAGAGGAAGACCTCACCTAGAGAGCGACATAGTTTCACTTCCAAGCGGCGGCAATCAGTGAAAAGGTAAGAGGAATGGGGGGTTATAATCGATTCGGCTATAATCGTGTAAGCAGTGCCAACGCCTTGGTATCAAAAATATGCAGTTACTTATACTCGATAACTTTTTGCCATTTATGTGGTGTTATTATGCTTCCATCATAGAAACCCTTGTTCCTATTAGTACAACCAATTTGTCTTGAGTTTAGGTCTAAATTAACTGTTCTGCCGTAGGGGAGCAGCTCTTAGTGGATGATTCCTTGCGAATCCTACCAAACACACAACAAAGCTTTCCTGATCGTCAATCCTGGCATGGAGAGTGCTTGTGCCTTTTCACTGCCCTTCGACCACGTTTTTGTTTCAAGTTACCGTGCATCACCATTCGCTTCTGAAATAGTTAGTTTTTTCGTTAAAGCGTGTGGCACCCATAGATCGAGCTACATTGTGTATTCAGCAGTTTCAGGTGGTTTTGAACAAGCTCATGAATCATTGTGACTGTATCAGTATTAATATTAGGTTATAGAGTATTTTCTTCCTGCTGATGTCCATTACTGGGTTAACTGGTCCACGCTTCTCCCTTTATCTTTTTTCACCCCAAATTTTTGGAATGGATTGAACTCTAAAGAAAAGAACTGATGATAGGTTTCCGTAAATCTCCAATGCAATTTCTTTCTTAAAAGAACTCATCTGTTAGCCACTACTGTGTTTCAATAAAAGCACTACTAGATACAACCCTGCTGTACCGCACAATGGCATCCCAATCAGAGAACGTATAACGTATGTTTTGTACGTTCTCAGTCACAATCAGCTGTCAAACATCAAAACAAAATTTGGGTGAAGTTAACAAATATGTGATTTTGTTCCGCTATTTTTTTTATATTAATTTTCTTATCAATTTCATCAAGGTGTATTTGGATTTTAGTCCTATTTGGCGAAAGTGAAACTATTTGTTGTTGTAGTGTACCGTTTTAAATTGCAGCATTTAACATGCTTTGCAGTTTGTGATAATTTTAAGCGAAAAGTGTGTGAATTGAACGGAAGGCAACTGCCCAAAAGACAAACCGATATAATCACAGCACATACGGCTTGTGCTAACGCAAGTGAAACTTTCACAAAAAAGGAATTCGAATATCTGAAAGGGAACATTCTAAGGACTAACGTTACAGAGATCCAAATTAGCGGTATAGCTTTTTCACAAACACCCACACAGCAATAAACAAAGCAAATATGTCTGCTGACGAGCCTGATTGGCGTCAATCCATTGTAAATCGTTTGCGCGAAAGAAGTCGCAACGAGTCGAGGGGCAAGGAGATCATTTTACAAAGTAAGCAAAACGTATGCAAAAGTTGCGGTAGAGCAAACATCAAATTTCTTTACCTTACTGCATCCTATCTGGTGCGGTGTTAGTCATTGTTTGCTATTTCATTGATAACAAAACATTATATGCCAGTTTGGTGTTTATATTTTTTATTTGTGAAACTTTTAATTTAATCTCAATATATTTTCAGATAATCGTTTAATTGACCAAGCGTCTCAATTAACTGAAGACAATTTAAAACTTCACGTTGAAAATGAGAAATTGCGCACAGCACTTTCAACAGGTGGTGGTAAAGATGCTACCGGCGCACAATTGGCCATTGCAGCGTTGGAAAAGAAATTATTGGCTCAACAAGAGGAACTGACTGAATTGCATAAACGTAAAGGCGAAAACTCACAAATGATTGTCGATTTAAGCCTCATTGTGGAGCAACAGAAAAAACTCATAGCAGAAAAAGATAAAATGTGCGAATTAGTAGTTAATTTTTATTTTAGGTGTATGCATTAATTCATGCGGTTTTCTAAGAGAGGGCTCTACTAGTATTATTTCGCATCGTATTCATCTGTGGCTTTATTCATTTCAAAGTTACTGTCATTTCGCGTCGTTTTCAGTAGATGTCATTTGTTTTAGCGTGAACAATTTGTTTCATTCATTTGAAAATGTCGAAATTTGTACAGAAAAAAAAATGTTTTTGCGGAAGTTCTTCTTTATTACTCTAACATGACGACAATAAATTCTTAATTTTCGAAAAAAAACACACGAATTATTGCATACAACCAATATGTATCTAACAGAAGCTTAGAACGCCTATAAAACGATGCAAACATATTTAACTCATGTCTTTTTTTATTTTCAGTATTGCCGAACAAAAAACTGCCAATATTTCATTACGTGCAGAAGTAGACATGTTAAAATCGAGTTTAGAGCAGTTGAAGAAACTTAATGCGACACTGTTAGATGAGCACACCGCTTTAAAACTGTCTTTCAGCTCATTGGAGGAAAAACTGCGGGGTGTACAGGTGAGTTGCAGAAAGAAAAGAAACATTTCTTGTTTTAGTTACAACTGTAACATAGTATGCGACGCCAGTGACAATATGATTGAGGTGTGAAAATGATTTAAATACAATAACAAACACGAAATAAACAAATCGCTTATATATATCTACTTATTATTACTTGCTACTTTACTGAGTTAATACAACAATTGAATGGTGATAAATTAAAATAGTTGATTCGTACTGAAAAAAACAGCAAACTCTGTAATACTGATATCCATTACGATAAATGTGCTCGTCATAGAATTTTATTTCTTTATTACCCACTGTTTTGCTTCAATTCTGAATATTTCAGTTCATATTCAAATTTTTCTTACACATTAAAAGTTTCTTTGAAGTTTAGAAAATTGTTTTTGCTATACGAAATTTTTTGTTATACCGTAAATTGTTTGCAGCTTTCTATAACTGTGTACGGGAATACCTCTAAATTATTCAAAGTGTATTGCATTAGATTAAAACTTCAGCCATTAATAGCTAACCAAGTTTGAAAACATATTATAATAATTTCCTGTGTGCGCATGCTTAATGCAAATAGCGCAAATATAATTAATATTTCGCTCATACCCGTATAAAAGTGATTATTGCCATTCATTAGCTGAGTCATTAAAGTGTATGTACATTTCCATATCTAATTTGGTTAAGATAAATTGATTTTTTAATTATTTCAATAAAATATATAAATATCTAACCAATTTTTAGCCATTTGCACTATGGTAAATTTCTCCATACCACTTTAAGTAGTCGCGTCCAATCATTATCTTTTACTTCTAGTTATTTATGCTATATTTTTAATAGCTTTTAGTTTGTAATTGATAAGATATTCGGCTATTTTGGTATTATTGTATCCCTAACTATGCATTCTTATGTATGTACATGTGTTTGTACATGTGTATGTATGATTTTATATTTTATATATTACTTCATTCGGTCGCTTTCACTTTTTCGTGCCCTCTTCAGACCGACTTGGCTGCCAGCTCTGCCAGCTGATAAAGTTTCATAATACAAATACAGTTATTGTTCGATAAATGTCTGCTGGAAATTAATAAGCAATCATATCGGATGTATAATCTCCATATAAATAAATAAAAAAAAAAAATAAAAGATTAATTGTTTACATACTTTAGGACTACAAACATATCGGTTTGAGTGCTATTTTTATATTTGATCTCCTGTCTGTTAGCTTTGTTGAATATTTTTGATTTATACATGTTTTTATCTTGTAATTATGTTTGTATCAATGACAGTTACATATATATATCTACTGAAAAGTTAGCTTTTAGGTTAATTGGCATCTGGTATCAATCTAGTAACAGTTTGATCGTTGTTGTAAGCGGCTAAAAGCTTCTTAAAACCATCCGATACATTTAGTTATAATTGATTAGGTTGAAAAATCCAAATTCTAAAAATATGCTTTAAAAAGTGGCCAAAAATTGCATCGAATGCATGTGAAAATATTTGTTAATTTCTATAAATTTTTGTTTGTGATCTGTAAAAAAAAACACCGTAAAATTTATTCTTTATGGCATTTTGAAAAGAAATTTGTGTAAACAATTAATTTATGATAGTTCAAAGTAACTCATTAGTAATCATTATTTTATACGTTTGAGGCACTAATTTAAAAATCGTTGAATTGAATTTTTCTTAAAAATTTTCCTTGTTGAGAAAATTCCAAAATATAAGTTTTTTGTGCCACAAGGATGATAGTATTCAACTTGCTAGCCATAACACAACAATATATATTGATGATAAATTGCTAAATATTGATGTAAAATATAGCGGTTTCTATTGCACAATCCCAATTTTTTTCGCCAAAAATTTTATTACTTTTTCTGTTATATGTACAAACATATACCCTTTAACGTGATTTGATTTAATATTTTTTTTTTTAAATACTTTCGACTCATTTCGCTTATCATTTACGCTCAAATAACTCAAATAATTATACTTCCAAATTTTAATATTCTCTATTCTAAGCGATTTTGGCCGCCAGTGTTTAATAAAGCCAATATGTTTTCGAGCATTTCAATTAAAACAAATTTTGTTTGAATTACTTTTTGTTGTTGTAACTACATAATAATTGCTATCAATTAAAGCCTAACATGTTATGTTGATTATTATTGTGCTGTGTGATGAAGATTAATTTACGCTCAGGCGTTTTAGAGATTCCTTCTAGTAAATATATATGAACATAAGTACATATACATACCTATAAATATACATACGTGTATGCTCATATTTCTTTGCTCATTTATTACTCTTATTTTCTTTATTTTACTATGTTGTTATTTGTATATTTGTTGCTGCACCACGCAAAATACCAATTAACACATTTGCACAGCTGATTTTAGGCCGGCCAATGAACTGATTGGTTTTGTTGTTATCCACATTTTCTTTACTCTTTTGTATTGATCGTACTATAAACCACCTGTAAATGAATGAAAACTGCTTATTTGCTTTTAAGTTATTTCGTATTCACATGTGCCGCACATGCGTTTCAATGTATGTATGTATGTATGTATGTATATGCAACTGACAACTTTAATTCCTGATGATTTTGCGTAAATTTGTGGCAAAAGGCCAATTAGACGTCAAAGGGTGCACTATTTTGGCGTACTACATAAGTAAATGTGTACTTTTAGTAGATAAAAAAAAAATAAAGCATAAAATGTATAAAATGAATTAAATGGATACAACTTCCATGACCCAGTAGGAAAAATGTTCAAATATTTGGAATACAAATTAGTGGGATCTGTTTTTTTGTGTTCGAAAAACTTTTTTTTTTTTTTTAAAAATTCATCATTTAAAGTATTGTCCGTAGGAAGCGATTACTTTTTTCCATCACTATGGTAATTACCAAACACCAGCTCTGAAAAATGTTTTCCCTCTGTCTGAAAATGCCAGCAGTTGGTACAAGTAAGGTCTGGAGAATATGGCGGTCCCATTTCAGCCTTTTCACCGTTTCTACTGCTTTGAGCAGCTCAAAAAATAGTTTCAATCGATAACACTTCGCATCAGTGTTTTTTGTTGTTGTTGTTGTAAACGCAAAAATATTTTCCAAAGTACTTTTTGGGGAAAGTTGCGTGAGTGGCAGTCCTTGGCCGGATAAAAATCTGCATCGTTCCGGTATAAAGACCCGACTGTGGCGGGAAATATTGGATTTTAGTCACCTCTAACGACAGGCATGCCTTACCGAGGGTAAATTCTTGAACCCCTAACACCCAGGTATACATATGCAGTCAGCTCATGCGATCTAAGCCGCTTTGGGAGAGACCTCGCATTAATAGTTTCGCCTGGTTTTAGCAGATCAAAGTAAACCCGTTTTTGGATCGGCCAGCGCAGTACTATCATAAACTTCCACAAGCATTCGATGGACTGATAAAATAAAAACTTTACGCAAATATACTTTTCAACACAAATTCGGACATTATCGAAGAGACGAAAAATGTTGAAGAATCTAATAAGTAATCGCTTCCGAAATCGGCAACAGCTTGCAGATGAAACCATATTTTGAGAACAAACCGAATTAATTTGGACCCTCAGTATATTATACATATGTTTATTACGCTGCTATGTGGTTTAATATGTTTATTATTAAGCTCAAAATCATATATAAATTTGGTGGATATTATTGCTTAGTCTTATCTTCATATGCAGTAGGCTGCTTATAACTTTTACAAATATTGTGATCGCTTATTATTTTAGTTATCGCTGTTCATTTTGCTTGCAACTTTTTATTTTTATTTATAGGCAACATATAATACATATAATATCAATTACTCGTAAATGCATCGGTTATTGGCCCTTGCCGCCAAATGCCAATTAGCGGCTCAAGCTCAATTCTAGACAAGTGCTCATAAGTGAATAAATTTGTTTGGCATTCAATTATTCATATCTAGTACAATTTTGTATCCACACACATATGTATATATCTACATGTATACTTACTTGCACACTTGCCGCACCAAATGCAGTCGACAAATTGTAATTGTTTGGCAGACTTACTGGCGAAAGAGTTGAGCAATCTCGCTGATAATGTCGTAATTTTGTTGTGTATAATAACGCCATTGGTATCCGATCCATTCGCTGTCATCATCATAAATAATAATTTGACACTATTTTTGTGAAATGTTTGCATAAGGGCTATTGAATTACCTACCTAGATCATTTATCGCCCGAATTGCCTATGTTTATTTATTGATTTATTAAAGTAAAGCTACCGTATTATTAGTGATAAAAACGGCTAAATATTATTTAGTCACTTCCACTGGTATCGTATTATATTGTAATTATTAGTATTAAAAACAAGAAATAAAAAATGGCAGTTTATAATCTCCGGTCTAAGAATTTCTTATAATAACCAAGAAAAAATTTTATATAAAAATTATTTATTATATATTTCTATGTGGATATCTACTACTGATCGGTAAACTAAATGTGTGTAAATGCATATGTACATACCTACGACTGAAACAAAAAATACAAAATGAAACCTATACAATGAATAATTATTATACATGTTTGTATGCGCATTAGGGCGGCCCGAAAAAAAGTCACAACTCCTTGGAAATTCATATAACATAAAACAAAAAAAAAATCCCCTAATCAGGCAATAATTTTTAAAGTTTACTAAACACTGTTATTGGTTGAAATTAAGTATTTAACTAAACATAAAACCACAAAAGACTTAAAAGGATGTAAAGTAAAGAAAATTAAATGCAAAGCTTAAAAAGTACTAAGAAATATGCACAAACATACTATGTATATGCGTATCTACATAGCATATCAATTTCAAAAGTTGAAAACAAAAAGTCCTTAAAGAAAATAAAAAAAATTTCGAATTAAAAATTATTAAAAAACAACAAAAAATACAAAAAAAAATGAAAGCATTAAAAAATAAAAATGTAAGAGAACTAACAATAACGACAAAAATTGTAAAAATAAAAAATATAAATAATATATAAAAG